TATATATATATATATATAAAGTTTGGTGGACAAAGGCCTCTTGTCCACATTTGTCGTGTCTCGTACCCGTACCCGTGTCCATACCCGTACTCGTACCTATGCAACCTAGGTACCCATGCTACATAACCCTTTTTATATTTCTATATATATATATATATAAAGTTTGGTGGACAAAGGCCTCTTGTCCACATTTGTCGTGTCTCGTACCCGTACCCGTGTCCATACCCGTACTCGTACCTATGCAACCTAGGTACCCATGCTACATAACCCTTTTTATATTTCTTTTTTTGTTTCTTGTCAAAGCTGCTTTGAAACATGCTAACTTAGAATTGACTTCAAGTGGATCAGAAAGTTCATGTTAAAATGACATCTGTTAGAGTAACAAATCAAGGTTAGAGATCTTTAATAAACCATATCATGATCTAGTAACATCTTTATATGATTAAACTCAACAACCCAATAAGAGAAGTGGTTGGAAACAATTAAAAAGAATATTATAATGGTTAACCTAACAGAAGAGACAGCTCTTTACATTTTTGAAGGGAAGAATAAAACTCACGCAGCAGACCCCCCAGAATCTGGGACTAAGGCTTCATTGTTGATTGTTGTAGCCCAATATATGTCAACCAAGATATAACCATAAATCTTTTCTTTTGAATTTTATATCAAATATCAATGCTCTAGTACAAATGGTAGCATGATCCATGGGCTGTGGACAAGGAAAAGTTTTGTCATCTTATAACACCAAAATTTACTACAAATAGAAAAGAAAGCTGAGAGGAGAGGACTATCGTGATTGAGGCGCCATGGCAGGGAGGAGTTCCAGAAAGGAGAGAGAGGCCTGATAGTGTCAGGGCTGTTGTTGCCTAGGCAGTGATTCTGCTGAGCTGAATTGATGGAGGACTCAAGAACTGAAATGGAAACTGAAATATAACTTTAATAAAAACCAAAGTGAACTGAAACGCAACTTTCACGAAAGCTAACCCATTAGCTGCTTTGGGCTTGAAAGTTTGATTTTGCTCATTTTTTCTCCAAATAGTGCTCACCCCTGCTAATTGATTGGATGAGCTTTGCCATGTCTTCAATATGCTTTCACCTTTCTTGGGTATAATCCATGATCCACACGTTCAATGTCTGTTATAAAATTGTAGTTTAATATCAATCATTTAAATCAGTCGTATGTTAACGTTAGTCCCTTAAGTCTGAGTATTTTGATATTAATACCTCAAATTTCTGAAATATGTTATATAAATACCTTTGATAGATTTTCTGCACAGAATCCTTCACCCTGATTAGGTTTAGATTGACGAAGGGTGTCTAGTTACCAAAATACCCCCCCTTTCTTGTATGTCGGCTATAATTGAAGACCCTTATTCTCCCATTGCTTGCGAGTCCGAATACTGCATTGCAACCTGCAATAACACCTCAAGTCAGCCCTATCAGCAAAAACTCCATTGGCAGAGGAAACAAAAAACTTTATGGCAACTTGACAATAAGGTTTTGGATCTAGGTCAGAGAAAGATATTTGGTCAATGGAGGGTTTCAATGGCCCTTTATAGCAGCCAAAAATGAAAACAGCCGTTGGAGAAGATGGGTTGTTTGTGTTCGTACTGTTGGAGAAGATAAATTGTGAAACGGGTTCTATTTGGGTATCTTAATGGGTATGCAGGTTTGGGTAACAAGAGTGAGGGTATAACTGTCCATTCCCTGCACAAGTTAGACATAACGCAATTTCCATGGCATTTATAACCCCAACTAACGCTAGGGACTAATATCAACATATTTCAGCAATTTGAGGGACTAACATCATGATACGCAGTTTAAGGGACTAATATCAAATTACTAATGATTTAAGGGACTAGTAGCCAGAAACACCAAAATTGTTATCTGTAGTAAGAAAATGATCTGTCAAATATCAATATTGAGAAAAGGCGGGATCATGGAGTGTATTATTTTTTACTTCTAGGAGTACCATAGATATCGAAGACCATAAATATGTGCTCTAACACTTCATCTTGCGAAAGGTCATGCTATTCTCTTTCCCAATAGTAACCAAAATGAGAGATGAGTCAGTTTATATAGTCTGGATTTATTTATGATTTTTGCTGTTAGTCTTATGCTATTCCTGTTGTATAAAATTAGAAATTTCCATCTAGTGTAATGTTGTCTCAAATCTTACCATAAATACATCTCAGTTTCATGTTGTTTATATTTTAGATGCACGTAGAGAGGCGAGAAAAGCATTCCTTGCACTGTCCGGTAATGAAAAGAGTTCTGAACCTTCTCAGATTGAATTGAGTAAGAACAGCCTCAAAGATACATCTGAAAGATATGATGATGTCATTTCTTCTCAAAGCACCCCTGTAAGTAACTTTGCATATGGGTGTTGTGTTCTATTTCTTCCTTTTACAAGTCCTGTTTTATTTTCTAATCAGCTAGTGGGGCATCATGTGATGTATTCAGTAACTTGGTGCATAACGTTACCTTTTCCTTTAATTCTTCATATTCAATAAGTCATATTCCTTTTTCCTTACTTTAATTGTTTTTCTTAAAATATTGTTATAATATCTAGTTTCTTACTGTTGTCTGCTTCCTCCCTTTATTTTTTGGTTTCAGCAAAATTTAGTTAAAGTTAATGATTTAAGATTATTATGTTTCGCTTTTGTTGTGTTGCTAAAGTGATTTAAGTAAAGTTGAGAACTGTTTAAGATATGACATCCATCTTATGTTTATTTAACATCTTGTTTGTATTCATGTTTTAGTTGAAAAACATGCTTTACGTAGGTAATGAACAATAATCATACTGGAACTGATCAAATTGCACCGTATGTACATGTCTTTTTCCATCTTTATGTCTGAGTATGCTGTACCCTGCCAGCTCTGCATGTCCGTTATATCCTTATCCTAGCTTTTCGAAATTTGCTGTAGTGTCTGTCATCATGTTGTACTTACACTATGTACTACATAACATTACCATGTTTCATCGATAGTGTTGTTAATTCTCATGTGATGGTAAGTTGTTGATATTTTCTTCTTTGTGTTAGGTGTATGTACTCAACCCGAAGCAGGACTTACATGGCTTGGGTTATGATCCTTTTAAGCATGCTCCTGAATTTAGAGGTAATGGGTGCTATTCAAGTATTTTCTTCACTGTTCTGGTTCTATTCCATATCTGGTGGAATACTTCACGACTTTTTTTTAATACTTTTTTCAGATAGAAAGATGTTGCATGATTCGAAACGTAAAGATTACGGTACAAGAACTGATGTTTCATCAAGGAGTAAATTTTCAGCTTCTGACTGTAAGATACCTTTTGTGCTGATATTTTTGTTTTCATGTTTTTCTTTCTGGAGTTGTCTGCTATGCTTCTATATCTCATTTTTAGTTTTTTAGTTATTTTCCTTTCTGAAAAATATTTATCACTTATTAACGCATAAATATGAAGTCTTCTTATTTGTGAAATAGACTTTAATTAGTTAACTCATACATCAGCAGGAAAATATGCTCCAGGTTTGGATTGGAGCACTTGAGGAACTTGATGTTGAAGATGAGGATATATATTCATCTGGTGAGCATGGGCATAATTATAGTTTCTTTTCCTTAATGTATATAGATCTATGTATGTTGCATGTATCCACTTCATTATGTTTTATGCATTTCGGTTTTAAGGAATATTTGTTACTAGGTTTTGAGTATGTTGGAATGGAAGTTCAAGAAGAAGAACCCTCAAAAGAAATCCCAGACAAAAAGCTTAAACTGGAATACAGAAAGCAGGGTGTTCTTCCTGGTTTCAAAGTTGCATCAAATTCTGACTATAGTTTGGAAAGGTAGCTAAACCATTCAAGATTGCTCTTTAGACTTGTAACGTGTAAAATATCGTATGTTTTAGTATGAAAAGAAATCATAACAATTTTACATTATCTTGATTTAGTTTCTGTTTTTGTATATTCCTAAATAGTATCCATTTATATGGGTATCTGACAAAAGTTTGCCAGTGAGTCCTTGTTCTCAATGTTGACCGACAATTTAAGCTGAAGGGTGCCTTAATGAAGCTATGCATCTAGCAGCTAGTCTGATGCTTGTGCATTATATTACATTGTCATAGATGCTTGCAAAAAAATTGTCATATTGTCCTTTCAAGAGAACTAATTACATTTATTCGTTTTCCAGATTTTATCCTCCTGTTATCCCCCCTGATTTTGAGCCTATTCATAAGTTTACATCCCCACTGGAGACCATGGAGAAATTTGCTGAATCTCCCCCTTTAGAGGTTCCTCCTCCAGAAGACAACAATTTGAGATTATTGATAGATGGGTTTGCAACTTTGGTTGCTCGCTGTGGTAAATTATTTGAAGATCTCTCCAAGGAAAAGAACGAATCCAATCCATTATTTTCATTCCTTAGTGGTGGAAATGGTCATCTATACTATGAAAGAAAATTGTGGGAGGCTAAGCAGAAAACTGGTCAACAAAGGCAGGTGGCTGCATCATTTGACCGAAAGATGACAGCTGAGAGTCGTGGGAGAATTTTAGGTGAAAAGCCCTTGGAGAGAAGCGCCCAAATTTCAACCACATTTGTCGCCCATAAAGAAATTCATTTTCAGTCCAACCTTTCTGATGCTTTCACAAAACCCACATCAGTTGTAAGTGCTTACACATCACTTCTATCAGATTAACTGATGCCATTAACATATTGATTGTTGGAAAATATCTTATCCAAATAAATAATTGTAAAGTGACATTGCATTATCTATATCATATTACAATGAGCTTATTTTCACAAAAGGTTATTGAGATCATTGCTTGTTTCAACTATAGGTTGACTCCTCAGAACCTGCTAAACCTTTCAAAGATGATCCTGCAAAGCAGAAAAGATTTGAGCAATTTTTGAAGGATAAATATCAAGGTGGCCTTCGTTCCACGTATGCTGGCGGTAGAAGCGCACTGTCTGATACAGATCGTGCTCGGGAAAGACTGGACTTTGAGGCTGCAGCAGAGGCAATTGAGAAAGGGGAATGGAACACAAAATCTAATATTCCATTGAGCCAGCAAGGATTGAAACTCCTTGGTGATGAAAGTGGCTTTGTGCCTTCTACCACAGTTGAGGTACTTAACCTCCCTGAAATTCTTATACTTAATTGTTGTCCTCTTTAACCTCCCTGAGATTGTTTTACTCAACAGCTGTACTCCCTTTCCATACTTGAGTTAGTAGTTAAGATGTTACTTGAAATGTCAAGCAGACACAACAAATTTCTGAAGTTGAAGAGAAGATGGTGGATAAAATGTACCCTAAGAGGGAGGAATTTCAGTGGCGTCCCTCTGCGATTCTATGCAAGAGATTTGATCTTATTGATCCTTTCATGGGGAAGGTAACTTTTTTAGGTTATGATTTCATTACATATGAATTAATTTTTCTGCACAAGAAGATTACCACAAAATTTTTTCTGCTTTCAAAAACTTACCATTCTATATAAATTGCTTACTTTTCTAAAGCCTTACTGCCATTGGGTAATTTTTTTTTTCCAATCGGGTGAAATTTTCTTTTCAGACGGTAATCAGGTAAATCAGTCAATTTTCAGGATTAGGATGGCCCTGGTTTATACACTGGTTTATGAAACTTAGTTTCAGTTGTATCATAAGATAATTTTATAGCAATTTTACATTGTGCTGAACTCCGAACTATGAGATAGCATCAAGACTAAAGATATAGGGCAATTGGAAAATAGGGTTCTTGTTTCACAATGGATTCTTTTTGTTGCCCAATTTTGAGAGACATCCTAGACTTCCTCTGGCGGGTCCGTTGTATTTTGACTATCATCATATATCTTTCCAATTTCCATCTTCCAAACTTTGTTTCAGTTTACCATGAGATAATTTTTTTTGCCAAATTAGCTTTTCAGAACTCTGATCAGGAGATAGCATCAACAATGGAGATGACAAAAGATATATTATATGATAATTGCAGAATGCGGTCCTTGTATGACAAGGGATTATTTTCTTGCCTAATTTTGAGAGACATCCTATACTTCCATCGCTCGGTTTCCTATCGCCATCCCATCAATGCAGTATGAGTTTGCATCTTATCTGGCTCATAAGAACAAATGTATCAAGAACTTGGCTGCTCATAGGAAGCAATATTTATATTTTGGGTGCTTTTAGAGAACCACTACTGCGTCTTTGAGTTTATGACTTTAGCATTTCCAAGAGTTGGGCACTAGTATCTTTTTAAATACTGTGAAGATGTGTGGTCAATCTTTCACATATAGGAAGTAGAGGGAGAAGGTGGTCATTTTTGGCTGAACCTCCATTCTGTCTATTTTGTTTTTTCCAACCTGGTTTCTGTAAGCCCAGTTAACAAGATCTTGATGATATGATGAATCAGAGTTAGATTGTGCTGGACATATAGAGTGAAGATGTTCATCAGTCTTTTAACAAATATGAAGTAGAGAGAGAAGGTGGTCATTTTTGGCTGAACCTCCATTCTGTCTATTTTCTTTATTCCAACCTGGTTTCTGTAATATTGGTTAACAAGACCTCACTGATCTTGACCAAGCAGCGTTAGATTGTATTGGACCTTTGTTCCATATTCACTGATAAGATTTTGTTGACATATTAGTAATAGATAGGGTGTTATTTGTAAGTTGTGTAGTAAGGGCCTATATAAGCCCATCTTATGGAGTAATAAAGTTAGGGTTTTCTCTCTATTTTCAATATGGTATCAGAGCCGGCTGCCCCCCCTCTCCTCTCCTAGCCGCCGCCCCCCCCCCTCTCCTCTCCTACGCTGCCGCCCCCCCCCCCATCTCCTCTCCTAGCGCCGCCCCCCCCGCCCCCCTCGATCAACCCTCACCTCTCCCACCTCCCTCGAGAACGATTCCACCAATAACATGACCCCGAACCCCCCTCCCTCGAACCCCACCTACCCTCGACCCCCGACCTCTCGCCGATCCCCAATACGTACCCCGAATCCCCTACCCTCGAAACCCCGCTCCCCCCCAGAACCCCGCCACTCAAACCCCCTGACCCTAGCCGACCCCCCCCACCCCCAAACAGACCACAACCTCCTCCCTGACCCCTACTTACCGCTTGCCACCTCGGAGCCCCCCTTGCTGCCGCTATGTCAGACCTAGAAGTTTGGCATGTGCATCTCTCGACTCAGTCCTCGAACTGATGACATGAAGAGTTTATATCTCACATCGATGAGATATATAACTGTGTTTGGTTCTTGTTTCCTCTGAGTAACGAGATTTTTTTTTTGAGATCCTACTCTTGTTATGCAACAGAGGTGCTGCCGAAAGTGTTACTGCACACAACAAGGGTCGGAAGAGAAGGTGAACAGGTGGTGGGTCTGAAGCCTATTCGATGGAGGAGATCATCAAGAAGTTGAACCCCGCGGAGATGTCAACTTTGATGAAGCTAATGAAGTTGTCGGCTAGTGAGAGCGCGACAAAACCATCGAAGAAGTTGGAGCTTCCGACCATCGATCTGAAGCTTGATGGACCGAGTACTTACCTGAGCTGGTCGCGGCGGGTGAGATACACCCTTGCAGGGAGGAATCTGGAGGGTTATCTGACAGGAGAGGTGACAGAGCCGGAGGAGGACTCGGAGGGAAGTGAGTGGAAGTCCACTCATATGTTGGTGTACATCTGGCTTCTCAACTCGTTGGTCCCGACGATCGCCGCCACGGTGGATGGCATTGAGAAGGTGAAGGATGTCTGGGAGAAGTTGAGGAGGACATATGATGGAGTGGGGAATAACCTGAGGGTATTCCAGATTAAAGGAGAGATCGATGCCACAGTCCAGGGAGAGAGGACTGTACAGGAATATGCTACAGAGTTGGAGCGCCTGTGGCTGGATTATGATCATTTTTCCCCCCGGGCTAGCTGCAAGGACCCGGGATGTAAAGAGCGGGAGGCCTTTCTACAGGAAAGGTCTATGGTGTTTCTCAAGGGATTGACATCAGAGTTCGCTCAGCGAATCGCATTGTTACTAGCTCAACCGAAGATTCCCACGCTTGAGGAGGCTGTCTCTGCTATGATCCAGGAGGACACTCGCATTCGGCTGCAGGCAGGGACATGTGGACTTCCTGTGGTGAAGTCAGCAATGGCAGCATCTAGCAACACTGGATCTAGGGGAGAGACTCGACAATGCTACAACTGCGGCACAGTGGGTCATCTAAGGCATGCTTGCACCAAGCCACCCAAGGAAGGAGATTCGGGTGGACGTGTACAGTTCGGAGGTCGTGGTCGTGGCCGTGGGGGTCGACGAGGTGGAAGAGGAGCAGGGAATCGGGCGAATCTGATGGTAGCAGAGGAAGAGGAAGCAACTGAGATGATCTTTACTGAGGAGGACCATATGCTCCTGGAGATTCTTCGAAGGAAGCAGAGAGTAGCAGGAGATGGGGACTGAAGAAGTGGAACTGAGGAGACATCTAAAGGCAACTCTGCTACTTATGCTCATCCGACCAAAGGTACGGATGACATACATGCTCTTGCTTCTATGTCTCCCAATAGACCATCAGAATGGATTGTCGACTCCGGTGCATCTCGACATGTGACGGGCAACGCTAGTGAGTTCTCGTCATACACTCACCTAGCATCAGCAGATAGCATCCAAACAGCTGATGGTACATTTCAGCCTGTGGTTGGTAAGGGTACTGTTAATTGTACAGGTTCTGTAACTCTGTCCAATGTTTTGCATGCTCCTTCCTTTCCAGTAAATCTTTTGTCCATTAGTGCTATTATCCTCCAACTAAAATGTATCGTTTCTTTTGACATTCCCAAGGTGATCTTCCAGGAGAAAGGGACAGGACGGAGACTTGGGACTGGCACGTGGAGTAATGGACTGTGGTACTTGGATCGTGAGGGACTGGACTCAGCTTTGGTGTCAATGGTAGAGAAAGCAGGAGTAGGATCTGAAATGAGTGCCGAGAGTGAATTGATGCTTCATCACCAGCGCTTGGGACACTCATCCTTTGGTACTTTAAGTAGATTGTATCCATCTTTATTTGAGAAAGCAAATAAAGAGAAACTTGTGTGTGATGCATGTAAGTTGGGAAAGCTTACTAGAAGCTCTTATGTTAGTTCTGATCATAGGAGTTCTCATGCATTTGATCTGATACATTCAGATGTTTGGGGGCCTTGTTCCACAAGTTCTATGAACGGATACAAGTATTTTGTTACATTCATTGATTGCTTCTCTCGCGTTACTTGGTTATACCTGATGAAGAATAAGAGTGAAGTGTTTGGCTGCTTTCAAAACTTTCATAGGAATGTTCAGACCCAATATGGAGCAGTGGTGAAGGTATTGAGATCTGATAATGGGACAGAGTACACCAACAAAGTGTTTGGAGAATACTTGTCATCTCATGGAATACAACACCAGACTACGTGTCCATACACACCAGCTCAGAATGGGGTAGCAGAAAGGAAGAACAGACATCTCTTAGAGGTTGCTAGAAGTATGATGATCTCCATGAATGTCCCAGAAACATTGTGGGGGCAAGCAGTGTTGACTGCAGCGGCGCTGATCAACAGAATGCCCTCGAGAGTACTGGATTGGAAGTCTCCGTGTGAGACATTGAAAGGAGATAATGGTGGGATTCTTCCACTGAAGGTATTTGGCTGTGTGTGTTTTGTGAAGGATAACAAACCATCCGTCGGGAAGCTTGCCCCTAGAGCGGTGAAGTGTATCTTTGTAAGATATTCTGCTACTCAAAAGGGATATGTTTGCTGGAGCCCGGTGGAGAAAAGGTTGTTCGTGAGCATGGATGTGTACTTTCGTGAATTTGAGCCATATTACACACAGAAGGTACCATCATCCGTTGGTGACTCGCCTAATACTGGAAGTATGAGGCGAGAATGGGAGAATGGTGAGAGGCAGATGAATAATGTAGAGAATAATGTGGAGAAATCGATTTCTCTAACGATTCCTTGGGAAGGAGAATTGGTTGAGGAGGAGCAGGAGAATAAAGAAGAAGAGGATAAGGAGACAAGAGGTGTTAGGCCTACGGCTCAGGGAGAGCTACTTACCTATAGTAGGAAGGGGAAGGGGAAGCAAATTACGGAAACAGTATCTACAGTGCCACTAGTGCCAGGTCCCTTATCAACGCCTGTCCCGACTCCTGAGACACCTACACCACCATCAGATTCCTCCCAAGGTGATATCAATCCTCTCATTACTCCCACACCAATGTCAGTACGGAGGACTACTCGCAGCAATGCGGGACATTCTCCCGATAGATATGGTTGGGATCTTGCCCATTTTATATCATATTCTAATATCCACCCTGCACATGGAGCATTCATTGCATCATTGGATTCTGTTACTGTACCTAACAATTGGCAGGTTGCTAAGAAGGACCCAAAGTGGAAAGCAGCTATGCATGAGGAGCTAGGAGCTCTTGAGAAGAACCGTACTTGGGAGCTAGTAAAACTACCAGAAGGAAAGAGAGCAGTTGGATGTAAGTGGGTCTTCACTGTGAAGCAGAATCCAGATGGACAAGTTGAACGCTACAAGGCTCGTCTGGTGGCAAAAGGGTATAGTCAGACATATGGCATCGATTATGATGAGACTTTTGCACCGGTGGCGAAGATGAGCACTGTTCGGACCTTAATCTCTCTGGCAATAAATGGTGGATGGAAGTTACACCAACTAGATGTGAAGAATGCATTTCTTCATGGAGATCTAGTGGAGGAGGTATACATGGAGATACCACCAGGATTTGGTACAGATCAGACAGTGGGAAAGGTCTGTAGATTGAAGAAGTCTCTCTATGGGCTGAAGCAGTCTCCTCGTGCTTGGTTTGACAGATTCAGAAGGGCTATGATTGGTATGGGATACCAACAGATCAACGCCGACCATACAGTGTTCTTTCGACGGAGTGGAGGCCACATTACTATGCTTGCGGTATATGTGGATGATATGATTATTACAGGAGATGATGAGAAGGAGATTGCCCAACTCAAAGTAAGACTGGGTAAGGAATTCGAGGTGAAAGATCTTGGCTTGCTTCGATACTTTCTTGGAATAGAGATAGCTCGAGGAGCGGAGGGAATCGTCCTATCCCAGAGAAAGTATGCACTGGATCTTCTCAAAGAGACAGGGATGTTAGGGTGCAAACCTGCAACTACACCGATCGACCAGAAGTTCAAGCTAGGTGCTGAGGCTGGAGAACCAGTTGATCGTGACAGATACAGAGGCTGGTGGGAAGGTTAATTTACTTGAGTCACACACGTCCTGATATCTCTTTTGTAGTGAGCGTGGTGAGTCGCTACATGCACGATCCGAGGAAGGATCATATGGACGCTGTGTACCAGATTCTGAGATATTTAAAGAGTGTCCCCGGAAAGGGGCTGATATTCAGAAAGAATGGACATGTGAGCATCGAGGGTTATTGTGACTCAGATTGGGCTAGCTGTGCTGATGACAGGAGGTCCACCTCAGGATACTGTATCTTTATAGGAGGCAACTTGGTCTCGTGGAAGAGCAAGAAGCAGTCAGTGGTGGCGAGGTCAACAGCTGAAGCAGAGTATAGAGCTATGGCCTTGGGAGTCGCGGAATTGTTGTGGTTGAAGAGTATGTTGGTGGAGCTGAAACTAGATCAAGGAGCAAAGATGAAGCTGTGGTGTGATAACAAGTCAGCCATCAGTATCGCTAATAACCCGGTGCAGCATGATAGAACCAAACACATCGAGATCGATAGGTTCTTCATCAAAGAGAAGTTGGACAGTGGACTACTGGAGTTAAGTCATGTTCCAACTAAGGATCAGGCAGCAGATTGTCTGACTAAGGGACTTAGCTCAGTAGATATGATTAGAGGATGTGACAAGATGGGCTTAGTGGATATCTTTCGCCCATCTTGAGGAGGAGTGTTGACATATTAGTAATAGATAGGGTGTTATTTGTAAGTTGTGTAGTAAGGGCCTGTATAAGCCCATCTTATGGAGTAATAAAGTAAGGGTTTTCTCTCTATTTTCAATAGATTTATTTGTTTTTCTGCTATGCTCGATTGTGATAGATGGTCTTTAGGGTCATTGTATAGTAAGTAATTTGCAATTGCAAGAAGACTTGCAAACTAGCATGGAATGAGCACATTCAGTAATTAGTTGATTTTTTATACTCAAATTATTGGTAATACTGATGGAGACGGTTCAATATAATTTAAAATAGTCACCTTGCATGTTCATGTGATTTTAATGGTCTTCTGGCTTATAGTTGTCTCTACCTATTCTTTAAACATATTTAATCAGTCACTTCCATTGTTTTACAGCCACCACCACTCCCAAGAGCCCGAAGCAAGTTTGATGCTCTCATCTATATGCCGGTTTCTAGTCCACAAGTTACCAGTGCAGACACTACTTCAAAAAGAGATCCATCACCTGCTTCTCAATCTAAACTGCAAGAAAGTGAGGAACAACCTAATAAAGAGGATCCCGACTCCAAAACTAATGCCACAATTGTGCAGAAGCCCGTTGATCTTTACAAGGTACCTAAATTTTATATGTGGTATAACAGTTTGTTAACTTGTTAGCGCTCATGTTCGATGCCTTGTGTTGCCTACTTGTGGGCAACCATGTCAAATTTCTGCCTGTATCATGATAAATGACATTTATGAAATGCAGGCAATCTTTTCTGATGATTCTGATGATGAAGAGGAAAATGCTGGAGTCAGCTCTGTGGCGGATCCAGGGAAAAAGATTGAAGGGGTTAATACTACTCTAAATCGTCTGGTAGCTGGGGATTTCTTGGAGTCTTTAGGTAAAGAGCTTGGGCTAGAGGTTCCACCAGAATCACTCCCAGTGAACAAGACCACCAGCTCCGCTTCTTTGATAGATGAGAAGGTCAAGGACTCCTTGAACGTTGACAAAGAAAATTCCTGATCATGCAAACACTATAAGAAAAGACCAAACCATAACTTTCATAAGAGATCAAGATGACGGTAAAATTTCTGATCATAAAGAGAATAGAAATAAAGCAGAAAAAAGGGAACATCGATCTAGGAAGCATAGATCTCACAGACGTAGCAGTACTTCGGATACTGATTCATCGAATGATGATGGACATAATGGGCATTCCAAGTCTAGATCTGAAAAAAGGTCTTCATCAAAGAGAAAAAGAAAACATTTGGATCATCACAGTCGCAAGAGAAGTAGATCTCCTAGCAGATATTCAAGCCGTGACAAGGACAGGGATTTATCAGATGATGATAGAAAGGATAGGAGATCTAGGGACAAGGAGAAATATTCTCGCAAAAAGCACCATTGAGGTATGGAAGTTCATGCATTATGATTTCACAAAGCTTTTATGAATATTGTGGTCCCGTCATAGTTTTGCTGCATATAAAGTTGAAATGTTCAGGTTATGTGAAATCATGGCACTTTTTATTTGAGTATCATGTCCCATAGAAGGCCAGTTACTTAATGCATGAGGATCTGATCATCTTTCATTAAAAACTGTTTGATAATGTGAAAAGAAGAAGGGAGCTGTCTGTAGATATTGAAATCAGGGTTTTCCTTGTGTTGCTTGCAAAAAGGCGTGCATGATCTTTTATGTTCGGCCACGAGACTGCAGACTTTCATTATGAGGTTGATTTGTATGACCAAACTTGTATGCTACTCTGTTTCCCATCTTTCTGTTATGATATTATATCACGTCCTAAGCAAAATAATGTGACGCAATTATCAGTCATCATGCACACGTACTCTTAGTTTTCTTCGTTTTCAGTTTTAGAACCCCCTCTATTCCATAATTCATTTTTGCACGGTTATCTATTATTGTGTTTTTATACACATATTTTAAAATTTTTGAAATAATATGATTCTTGTAGCTAATTTAAAACTATTGGGCATAGACAGGTTTTTTACTTTTTTTCTGCAACTTTTATTAAGTCTGCATCTTCTTAATGTCGTCGTCGTGGTTGTATTTGCCAGTTTCCACGTCTGAAAGATTTTGATTGAGCTGAGAGCGAGCTGCTATTGCTGGTTGTAAATTGTACAGTTTCTTTGCAACAGAAATGGGTTGGAACCTCCAGTCCACATCTAGAACAGGGCACCATTAAGTCTTAATCAATATTTACATGTGAAACTTCTGTTTGTATCTGTGACTGTAAATGATCGGCTTGTATTTTGATAGTCACATGGAGGCGTGTAATGATGCTCGTACAATTTTTCCTACTCTCATGATGGCACAAAATCAGGGATGGAGTTGGGGGGTACCGAACACTGTTACAGAATCAGGGTGCCTTTTATTGATGAATAAGGATCCTATCAGAATCATTTATTTCTAAGAGAATAAGCTGGCTTACAACAGAGATATAAAAACTAAAATTTTCAAGCTAATCCCTTTAACCGTCTGTGAACGCATGATATTATCCACATGATATGGATCACTTCATTGTATAATATACAACGAGGGTGTTTTGATAGAATCTGCACTGACGAAGAGTGACGATTGTTTGTTAGTGTATCTGTGAGTATGTTCGTAGGCGAAGGACTGCGAAGTTCGTTCCCAAGGCCCATCCCTATTCCGGCCCATTATCATGGTTTTATACGGGTTAAGTGCTTATATATCAATTACTACTATGAGGAAGGTCGCTTTATATATATATATATTTATAAAGAGTCAAAGACCCATTTTTGCACGGTTATCTATTTATAAAGAGTCAACCACCGCTAAGATTTATAATTGTTTATTATTATGGAGTCAGCCGTTTTGCAGATGAGATGTCAAATTATTAACAAGGATATATTTTGAAGAGGTCATGCTCGATATGATGTTAGCCCAACCTGCTCACCAAATCAGTGGAAAGGTGTCCCGGTTTTTATTTATTTTAAATTAATGCTTCCTTTCATTCACCAGAGACGACGTCATTTTTATTTGAGTCTTGACTTGTTCCCTACGATAAAGATTTCTGTGGGGTCCTCACCCAAGCTTTTAGTTTTGGTTGGTGCGTGGTTGTCGTGGTCTTAGCGAGTGTGATTAGGGATTAATGCCCCTTGATTAACATTGCAAGAATTGGTCATGACTTAAAATTAGTCATGTCGTGGTTTTAGTTTG